TTAGTTAAGAATTTCCATAAAATAACGTGTGAACTTGTAAAATATACATACCTAAAAATGAAAAGAATTATAAGAAGTTTGAGCTCTATGGTAGAGTCGTGCTGATACCTTGTTATAAAATATGAAGCTAAGTTAAAAATAAAGTAGGAAATACGATTGTAAAGAACTTTATTCCATTACTTGTGGTAAAAACAACTAACATTTACAATACATATTACTCATTATTTATACTTACACAAAATAAAATAAAATGTGAGGTATGTTATGAATACTCATTATAGTGGTGCATAACTATACTTATAAAAACCATAATAATGTTTGTTATAATTCTCACTAAGTATGGAGAGTGATGGGAGAATATAGCAAATTCAGTAGTTATTCACTAAATAATATTTCATAACACATGCTTTTTTTATTTTACAGCAACAACCCATATGATTAGGGAAATAATTATATGACTTATCAATTATCATCAATTTGATTGATGTTGTTTTTGTTAAATTTTGTAAAGCGGCTCCTACTAGTGTTGTAATTGAACTTTTTTAGTTATAAGGGGGCCATTAAAATAGTCGTTAATATAGGTGTTTTTGTATTTTCGAAGCCAAAACGCCTTAGTTGTAGACCACATCTAAAACCATTTGTAGTAGAGGAGGTGGACTGAACGTCTGCAATCTAAAATAAGAAGTATGTTTGTTTGTTAATGTCTGCAGGCTGCTGAAATAAACTGAAATTTAAATAAACTAGTTTTACATACTTCAAATAATTTTTCAACACCAAAATTTTAATAATTCTAGTCGTGCAACATTGAAATAAAATTAATGCAACCAAATTAGTCTTACAATAACAATTTTATTTAAAAAATTCATTCCATATTTTGCATCAACAGCTCAAAAATTTCATCCCGTTACTGAGTCATATTTACGGTATGCTGCAGTACCATGTGTTGGAACCTCGTCTTTATCATCATGAACAGGCACATTGTTATTTTGAAACAGGACATTGGGTTCATCATATCATGTGAAATACTCATCATCCAGTCCCCACTTCTTTATAAAATTATGAAGCGTGAAACATGCAATGATAATGTCTTTTTTGTGTAACTAACGAGAATGATTTCTTCCTCTTCAATGTAGGGTATTGTTTCAAGACACCAAAATCATGCTCAATGACGCTCCGAAGTTTTGTATGTGCATGGTTAGAATTTTCTCTATTTGTTAATGCATGTATTTAATGAAAATCTCCAAGCCAATACCTCACATTATGATACGTGACCATAAATCCTAAAATGTGTGCCTATGTGACATCAAATAAATAATATTTCTTTGTAAAAGTGAAAAACATTAATTGATTTTAAATTAAGATACAAATATCTAAAAACACCATAAACTTTCCTGGTGGTGGAAACGAGAATGGTGCATGTGGATCGGCTAATGCTTTTGATAATATTTTAAAATCATGTGCTACTCTTTCCCAACCGGTCACAACAAACGTAAGATTCATGTTGAAATCACAAATTGCTAATATTTTATGGTAACAATCGTCATTTCCCCTCAACTCTATATAAATCTTGTTTCTTTTTAGAGACAACATGTATCAAAGTGTCATCAAGTGCACAAACTGCTCATTTGAAAACCCGTCGTAGCCTCTTATTATGTCCCATAATATTTAGATTTGGATTAAAAGAAGTTGGTACTATAATATCTTTTGCGATAAGAAGTTGAAGCTATATGGTAGAGTTGTACTGATAAAATGTTATAAAATAACCTATGAACATTGTACATGTGAATTTGGAAAATATACATACCTGATAATGACAAGAACAATATTAAATTTGAGTTCTATGGTAGTGTTAGGCATGTGAAACCCAAGAAATAAAGGGGTATGATATTCTCCAAAATAACACAACTATATTGCACTAAAAGGTGGTACAAGACAAGTAGGGTCGATCCACAGAGACACGGGACAATTAGTCTATACCTCTTTGCGCGAGGTACTTTGGTCACCAATAGTAAAGAGGGGGTTTTGCAATGATTAAAACAAACAATAAAGACACTAATCAACTATTAAGTGAATTAAATACAGAAATTGTAAGGACTCCAACTCTATGCATGACAACTTAGCTATGTGATTCAAAGATGACTAGATATTTGCTCAATTCTATCTAAGTCGGTACTTGAAAGTGTTAACAAGATCTAACACTTCCAATTCACTACATTAAATAACCAAAACAAGCTTTTTGATTAACCCTAACCTTACTAACCAAATCTAAACAAGCTCTTAGAATTAGATTAAAATGTTGCGTTAAACTTTATGTGAACATTCCCAACAACACCCAATACTCCTCACAAGCTCGGGAGCGTAAGAGTGTGTGAATAAGATTTACACTAAATTCATTCAATGGAAATCAGTTTAGTGCTTGTTACTTAGTCCAATTCACAAAACAATTACAAAATTTTCAATTAGATAACTTGAATGACCTAATCCTAATTCAAATGGCCAATAAGAATCATAATTAGAATCAAACATTTGATTAAAGAAAAATTAAATTTACTAGATAGAAATTAAAAGCAAACATCAAGTCATATGATTGAAATCACGATTAAGAAGTCAAAACATGAAGTTGGAGAAACTAGGGTTCTAGTCACACATGGCTAGAACAACATCACAAGTCAAAAGATGGAAATAGTATGCAATTACAATTTACAAATTAGAGAAATAATGTTTCCAAATGACAAATAATCAATTCCTTGCAAAAGCCTTCGAAATCCTCTAACCAATAATGCTCTGATATCATGCCTCAGTGTCAAAATGACCCAATTCCCGTGATATAAAAAATAGGAAAAACTGTCAAAAGTTGGTTTTAGGGTCGACCACACCCCGTGTCAAAATAGGGTAAATTAACATGGGTCGTGTTGAATGGAAAATGGAATTCAATCCTTGATTCTTCTTCCAAAGTACAATGCTCAAAATTGCTTAGCTGGGCCAACACGACCCGTGTCAAAATAGGCTAAACTGACACGGGTCATGTTCAGCAAGGTTAACATCTTCTTTTCTGGTAAAACACGGCATGTGTTCCCTTTGCAGTGTAAAATCAACACACTCCGTGTACTACTCTGCCTCCGAATCCAAATTTGATATTTTCAACTTTTCCAATTTACACCAGATCATCCTGAAATCTTCACCTGTGCTTCCCACCACTCCCAAAACGCATTCCAGCCTTCGGTTTACCTGAAAAGATCATGAAAGTGTGCAAATAAGGTTGTTCTAAAGAATAATGTGCATGTGATTAAATGCAAGAATAATGAAGAATAACTATGCTAAAATGATGCATAAAAGGGACTAAAAGGGTGTGCAAAAAGGTTTACAAATGCACCTAGGAAATCTCCCCAAGCTTAGACCTTTCTCGTCCTCGAGAAAGAAAAACAACTGGACGAACAGGATGATTTCTAGATAGAAAAAAGAAACATATAGAAAAAGGGGACAGAAAGATCCTAAAGGCTAAGAATGAATGCATGCAATGAAAACCATGGAAAAAGAAGTACATGTATAAAATAAACTTAAAAAAATTGAACCAAATAAAAATTTAAAAACACAAGTAAGTTATTTATTTTTATAAATATAAATATAGACGATCAGACTTTACATCGATAGGGCTCCAATCACTAATACCTAGGCGACCATCATGTTACCTTTCATATATAACAAACTCCCAAAGTGAGGAAGACCACGAAACGGTGTAACCTAATAATCCAACCATAGAGTTATTTAAACTTTATATCTTAATTAGCTTTCTGAGTGAAAATAACACAATTCGAGGTCTCGTGTCCTTAAGACTAGATAGTCAAGAATCAGAATTGACAGATCCTGAAGAACCCGTCATGGTAAATCAGCTTTTGTTGAAGTAGTGAGCCCACCCGAAGGGCCCCAGCTCCTATGATTTCACTTTTTTCAAGAGCCATAAGTATCATATCACATAGTTTTTCATTTTCCAGATTTGACTTTGAGATGACTTCTGATTTGATTGAACTTGGATTTGTATATTCGTTTTAAGCTTGAGTTCTCCAATCAACTTTTGAATTTTTTGAAAATTTCTTGAATTGAGTACTTGAAATTTTGATTTGGGTACCGGATATGAAAGTTGTACTCTTTCTTCTATCTTGACTATGTGGATCAGATACTTAAGCTATCTTTCACCGTGAGGGTAACGCATGTCAACAAATAGGTCCGTATTCTATGGGTCCAGAGTTGTCGATACAGTTTCTTTTTAGACATTCAAAAGCAAAGCATCCTAAAGCTGTTATTACGGCCTACAAAAATGGTCCAGTATGCCATTTTTTTATTATCTAAGGCTGAGCGAATTACGGTGTTTGGGTCCCCTAGTTATGATATTTGATTCTACACTTCCGGTCGCTTCAGATTTTTTCATTTTGATTTTTCGCTTTCCCACTTCATGGAGCTATCGCATGTAAAGATTTTCTCTTCTAGTATTATTATTATTATTATTATTATTATTATTATTATTATTATTAATTTTTTATTTTTATTTATTTAATTTTTTTTATAAATGCACGGAAATGGGATGCAAAAACTTTAAAACTAGAAGAAAGAGGAAACCATATTTTTTGGGTTTTATAGATTTTGACATGTAGAATGCAAAAGAAAAAAAAATGAAAATAAGAGGGTTAAAAGCTTTTTGGATTTTTTTTTATGCACGAGTAATATGCACATGAAAATGCATGGATGAACCTAATGTACAACTCTACCCCTCCCCAAGCTTAAAGATAAGCATCGTCCCCAATTCGTGGAGATGGTGGATTAACCTATTGCAGAGGAGGAGGAAGATAATATCCGGGGTTTTGGGTCCAAGCCCAAAAGGCCTCCTCATGATTGCGCTGACGCTCTTAATCCCGAGCATATTGAGTGGTGAAGGAGGAAAATTTTTGTGTTAGGCTCGTGAGAGCTTGATGGTAGGTGTCAAGGCGGGTGTGAATCAATCTGAATTAATCCATGTATTGTTGGTGGTATGATGATTTTGTAGCACCACGGGATGAGCTGGCACCACCCGTGGGAGGAATATTTTGTGGTTCCTCCTCTCCACCATCATCACCGCCATCCTCCTCACTTTCTTCGTCTTCCTCATCTCGATCACTGGAATAGGAGGTGGGTAAAAGGTACGGGGTGATTTGATGATTAGTAAAATTGGTGGGATGGTTGAGGGAAATAATGTTTTTGTTCTCGGGTGTGATCAGGAGCTTTGGGTTGTGATTTTTGGCCCACGGTCCAATGATGGCTGTCGTCCATCGATTGGAATAGTTGCAAGGACTCGAGCACTAACATGGTGAGATAAGGCTCACTGGGGAGTGGCTGGTTGTTTTCGGGATATGGGGCCCGGACCGGAGCACTTTTTTCAAACATGCTGACAATGCCACCACAATAGTGTTTTCCCAACCGGGATGTGCTGAGATGGATGAGTTTGTTACAAAGAAATGACCTATAATGAGGTATGAGGCTCTCATCCGGGTGAGCCATAACATAGAGGATTTTTAGCTCAAGTGCCCTAATGGTGCTTCGCTTTTCTCTAGGGATGACTAGCAAAGCAATGATCCGATGAGCCACCTTCATCACAGGATGGATGAGTGATGAGGCTTTAGCCGCGTTACATACATAAGGATGTGATGGGTAAATTGAGTCCACCACATGAGATCACTATATCCTTCAATTGAGTCATTGGGGACAAAGGTGTTTTCGGTTGGGGCCTTACAATGGCATTGATTTAGTCCAAGGAGAGGCATAATCATGGTTCATGAGTCAGAAATTTAGGACCCCATGATCCAAATAGACAGTGGTCAAGAACTCGATTGTTGGGACTTTATAGCTGAGCTCATGGACTTGAAGCAACCCTTTCCATCCAATGTTTCAGAATAAGGTGTGGACTTGGTTATTGCTGTGCAACTCACGGAGAGATGGCACATGTGCAAAAATTTGGATAGTATGAGTGCGATAAAGGAAGGCCTCAAATTTGGAAAGTTGACGTGAGCCAAGACATACACACCACCATGTGTCGGATTAGTTGGATGTGGAGGTGGAGGCGGAGGTGATGGGGACCTACGACGATGGGCTGATGACTTAGTGTGCCTAGGTTGTTTAGGTTTCTCACTTTCCATGATCAAAATTTGGTGACAAAAAAGTCACTTGTTGACGGGTCCAGCCATAACAAGTTTGGCCACCAAAATTTTGCGGGAAACTCAGTTTTGAATGATTTCCAAGTGATTTTCCAATCTAATATGGCTACAAATTCATGCAATTTGACATTAAAAACATAAAATCCACAATTGAAGAATTGAAAAGATTGTACCGAATCGTTGGTTGAAATACATTGTTGTCGGTGAGAGGTTGCTCTACAACCTCCCTAAGCGTGCCTACACGAATATTCAAGCATAAGAACACCAAAATCCTTAGTAATTTTCGGACCTAGGGTTTGTGAAAACCCCTAAATCCACCATGAAAGTGCAAGAAAATGGTGTGTGGGATGTAGGAGATGAGGTGTAGAAAATGAAAATCAAACATTTTTGAAGATTTAAGCCAAAATTGGTGAAGAATCAAGGGATTGTGAAGAAAAGTGGGATCTTTAGGGTTTCATGGGAGAGAGAAATTATTTTGGGAAGTGATTGTGGATAAATGAGATGAAATCCCAATTTTAAAAGTAAGAATATGTTGTTGCAGGTGTGAGAACACAGCCCGTATCTGTTTGAACTAAAACAACATGCCCATTGTTTAGTTAAAATTTACCGAGAATAGCTGAACATGGTGTCACACCCCAAAACCGATGGCGGAAACATTCCCAGACGGCTGACGTCATGTAAGTATCACAACCAATGTACATAGTAAGCATAGTAAACACGAAACATTACATTACCTATGAATAATTACATTTGTTTAAAAGTAAAGTGATATAGGTTTTAACTGCACATTAGTTTGAACAAAAGTAAAGACGTGACTTCTAAAATGCTCCATCTTCTCCAAAAGATTGTGGGTACCTGTCTAATGTGGACCTGAGAATACAAGCAGATTGAAAATCAGCATAAATCTGGTGAGTTCATAAGAGGTTTGTTTTCTAAAAATGAACAAGTTTCCTTTGGTTTCTGAAAAAGTGGTTATCCAAGAAAATCCCATATTTTCTTATAAGTATAGTTTAGTTATCCGTTTGTTACACGATCTGGTTATGTATATTTTGTTATCCCAGGAAAAACCCTTATTTTCCTTAAAAGTATGTAATTGGTTATCGGTTCTGAATGTAATGTACAAGTATCTGCCATACTTAAAATGTTTGTGCGATATATCCTGAAAACCTGGTTATCCTTGAAATGTATGATAGTTTTAACACATATATAAAACTATTGTGTGAAAAGTAAACTAATTCATACAGTTATTAGTTTACTAGATCCATTATTACCAACAAGTAAATCTCTGTTATCTAAATTGCGAGTTCCATAACCATACGATAGGTTATATATGGCAATAAGTAGTCCATCATCAATTTATGACTTTTGTCACCCTTGAACCTTTCGGTTCAACTGTAGCTAGCAGCCAGGTGCGGGGTTGTCAATCTTGTATAGATCGATACACTCAAGTCAAGCTCTCCCTCCAAGAGATTCTGGTTACGGGGGCGGTCCTCCACTTGCGTATCTCTGTGAAGTGTTTCTGAGGACGTGTCTCCATTTATTAAGATTAACAAATTTACAAGTAATAATGCGGAAAATCATGTTCGTGATTCTGGTTACAACGGGGGTCCTCCACTCGCGTATCTCAGTGGAGTGTTACCAAGTACGTGTTCTAATGTTCTAAGTTAATGATTTTTAAAATAAATGAAGTGAGAAATCATTGGTGAAACATACAATATAACACTGTATAATTAGGTTTGCAATTAGTTTGAAAAACTAACTCTACAGTTCAAACAGTTGGTTAAAACGGTTTCCAGTGTTAAAATTATATGAAATATGAAACATTTCAAATTAAATAATAACTTTAAGTACAAGATATTCTTGTACTTTTGCTTGTATTCCCCCTGAAAACATTGAAAACAAGGAAAAACGTAGGGGTATGAACTCACTAGACGAGAAACATGTCGGTTGGATGCTAATTGTTAGTTCGGGGCTTGAAAACACACGAGGTTCCTATGTAATATGAAGAGATACATAAATTGTATCTAATTAGACTTTGAACTACTAATTAGATAAGACAGTACACTCCGAGACGTGAAAACACTTCATTACAAGTGTTAGGAGTGACCCGGGTAGCATCTAAGGGTGTGTAGGGCCTAGATAAGGAGTTTACTCTTCAAGTGTAAGCCCTTAGAGGTGTTTACGGTCCAAAGACCATGTCCCCATGAGTTTACAGTCTTAAACTCATGGATGGTGTGTTATTGGATGTTTAAAGGCCTTACAATCCACAAAGGAAGGTTCTAGGGTTGATTCCATGGCTTAGGAAGTGATCGGGACTTGAATTGACCTTGGAAAAGGAGTTTACGATTCTTGAATGGAACTTGGGTAGTTTACTACCATAAACACATGAGTTTATGGCAGTAAACTCATGTTTGTCCATGAATCATGTGTTTTGGTAGTTGTTGGTTAAGCATACAAGGTTCTAGATCCAAATCTAAGTCATACAAGGTGTTTAGGGCACTTAAACACCCCATTGAAGGTGTTTACAATTTTGGGAGACCTTCCCAAACCGTAAACTCAAGTATGACTCCATTCTATATGTTTTGGTGCATCAAATGAAGGAGTACAAGGTTCTAGGCACTCATGGAAGCCTTTGGAGGTATTTAAGGGGCATTTTAACACCTTAAAAGGTGTTTAAGGTCGATGAAGATGTGCTTACGGTTCAAGAAAGGTCTTGGATCGTAAACTCATGTTTACCACCCAAATGATATGATTTTGGTGCTCAAATGTGGTGCATGCAAGTCCTTAAGTCATATCCAAGCACTAGAAGGGATTTGGATGGGTTTTGGGGCTTCAAACCCCCTTTAAAGGAGTTTATGGTTTTGGGAGGTGTTCCCAAACCTTAAACACATGTTTTTGATGGTTTTGGATAGTTTAAACATAGATTTTCTAGATAAACAGGCTTAGAAACATGCTAGGATAGATTACTTACCAAATTGAAGCTTGAAAGTGGAGTTTTTTGCGAAATTTCGAGTTTTAGAGAGAGAGAGTAGAGAGAGAAATTTGTGAAAGTGGGTAAAAGTCTTCAAATGATGCCCACTCACCGTTTATATAAGGTTTGGGTTTGAGACCCGGAGGAAATCTACCCGATACCGACGTTAAACAGGGTTTAAAATTTTACACGATTAATTTGTCGTAATTACGACTTAGTCGTAAATAAAATTTTTCCAAATAAATAATGAGGGTAATTTTTACGCTTTTCTAATGGGTTTGGAAACTCATGAGGCCATAATAAGAGGTCCCCATTCTAATTAATTTAATCCAAAAGTTAACAGAAAAATTGGAATACGAACAGTTTTATTAACGGGAACGGGTTACAGTGACGGAATAAATTACGGGTTGTCACATTGGCCCGTGTTAAAGTGAACTAAAATGACATGGGTCGTGTTCATGAGGATTTTCAAAGAAAATTTTCACAAAAGTTCAAGCTCAACCCGTGTTCAGTTCCATGCCAAAATGAACACGACCCCCGTACACCTCTACTTGCCAATCATCATTTTTGAACCCAAAAAAATCCCAAATTGTCCAAAAGAAATGATTTTGCATCCTGAGATTTGTTTGGTGATTTGAAAACATGTTATAACACATTTGGAACATTAAAAACCCAAAATGTCAAAGAAACAGAAATGTTTTGAAGAAAAAGACAAAAATACCCCCAGGTTGCCTCCCAGTTAGCCGTCCTTGTTTTAAGTCATTGGCTCAACTTGACCCTGAATTTGTTTCATTCTTGGTACGTGGGGTTCTCAACCATCTCCATCTCTTCATTCTGAACTTGGAATCCCTCATAATACGATTTCAATCTATGTCCATTAACTTTGAAAATCTTCCCGGTTTGTTGGCTTGTGATTTCCACCACACCATGGTTAAAGACATTTGTAACCACAAAGGGACCAAACCATCTTGATCTTAAGTTCCCTGATATCAACTTGAATCTTGAATGGTAATGCATCACTTTTTGACCTTTTGTGAAGGTTTTCCGAGAGATCATCTTGTCATGATACGCCTTGGTCTTCTCTTTGTAATCATTTCACTTTCATACTCATCATTTCTAATATCCTTTAGCTCTTTAATGTCTAACTTGCTTTTGTTTCCCGCTTCATATTCATTCAAGTTGAATTTCTTCATAGCCCAAAAATATTTGTGCTCAAGCTCTACTGGGAGACGACATGGTTTCCCAAACAATAATTGGTATGGAGACATACCAATAGGAGTCTTGTAAGTGGTCCGGTAAGCCCATAAGGCATCATCTAACCTTATACTCTAGTCCTTGAGGTTTGAATTGACTGTTTTCTCCAAGATTCCTTTAATTTGCCTATTGGGAATCCATGCTTGACCATTGGTTTGAGGGTGATAAACTTTTGAGACTTTATGAGTCACCCCATACTTTTTCAAGACAGCTTC